AGTGGTACTCCGCGATTAAATGCGATTTTAACAGTGTTCTGGTCATTTATTGTTATTTTCAATGACAGGGGATTAATCTACGTTCTTTAAGCTTGAAACTGAATGCTTGATCAAGACGTAACCTGTCCATATAACGTTGGAAGAGCTATTCAAAGTGAACTAACCGGGGTACGCATGGCGAGATACAGTGTCAACCGTTGCAAATAAATTGCGATTTTAACAGTGTTCGGGTCATTTATTGTTATTATCAATAATAGTGGATTAATCTACGTACTTTCAGCTACAAATTGAGTGCTTTATCTAAACTTCCTAAATTGATATCAAAAGTAAATTCTGTAATCTCCCCTGTATAAAATGGCGTATCGTCCGGTTGCAGATTGTTGTAATTGTTTTGAAGTAATAGCAGTCCAGATGTTCGATCATACACGCAAAGTCGTGTAATTTTTATTTCAAAACAGTTTCTTCCTCTCTTCGTCGATACAAATTCGTCCTTTATATTCACATTAAATACTCGATGCTTTTTCACGTGAGCAAATTGTGGCACCTCAATAAATAATGATATAAACATCAAATACGTTTGCAACGTGTTACGTTGATTGAACGGTAAACCGCATATGACGTGCTTCTATTTTCCGTTTCTTCGGAAGAATAATCACGTTAAAATGCTGCCGAACAGGATTGCAGGCGACGGACAAACAGCAGCGATACAAAAAGCTGAAGGTAATTGAATAAGCGATATAAGAGTAGAGAAATGAAAGAATACTGCGTGTATTTTTCTACATGCTGGCTTACATGTCCTTAGAAAAAAGAAACGGGGTGAAACGAAATCAAAATACTGTTGAACATAGAATGCACGTTGTATTAACGTATAATACAAGCAGCTCGTGTTTTTCTTTCACAGTGGCTGCTTTCTTTTTTATCGATAAAAAGGAACTTGAGTCAACATAAGAGACAATAATAATAATAATTAGTCATTATATAATAATAATAATAGTAATAATAATCATAACGCGTGTATAGCGTAAAAGATCGAGGAGATATACGAGGAAGCGTACGTCCATGACAAGAATTCCGAAACTCAAAATAAGCTCGAACTCTACAAACGACTGATTCGAGCATTTTTTAAATTCTTTCCGACATGTACGGAACTTCCGCGCGTTTCTCTGGAACCCTAAGGAACCACTTGTAGCTGGGTTAGGTCTTAGTACATCGAGGACCACAAACAGACGCGTCTAAAATTATAGAGGTAAACACAACCGCCCTGATCTCTCGTCGTTAGACATTAAATATGCGGATTAAAAATACCCCGTTCGATTTTAAAAATCGTAATCCTTTTTATTCTTCCAGTCAAACACAATATACTTTTGCGTATTCATTTGAAATTTGTAAAGTCGAAGGATTCTTCGGTAATCTTTCCTTCCATCCAAGTTCTGCAATTCAAGTGAGGTCATATCGAAGTTCTTTGTTTCTGTTCTTTTTTTTTTTTTTGTTACCCGTTCGAAGGGAGATCCTCGATGCGACAAGAACGCCTAAAAGGGAGAAGAGAGGAAGGGAAAGTGGTTGCGGATGCCGGATTAATTGCGCGCGCAATTTAAAGTTCCTTCTCGATCTTGATCAGCTCTGCGATACCGTCGTGCATCTCCTTCACAGCCTGGTACTCGGTCAGGCCGAGGCGTCGTTTGTTGGAAATGTCGTAGATTCCACCCTCGGCTTCGGTGTGCTCTCCGCGTGTTCCGCGGACTTGAAGATTGAACTTGGAGGCAACCTCCTCGAGCTTCTCCTTGTTCGCGGCCAGCTTGGGCACCTTGATGTGCACGGAGGCGCGCACCGTGGTGCCCAAATTCGTTGGGCAGAACGTCAGGAAACCAAGACGATCGTTGTGGGAGAACGGTATCCGCTTCTCGATCTCGTTCACGGCGGTCACAAGACGTCGGTAGACCTAAACCAGGACGAAGAATAGATATTTGCAAATTGCAAAGTTACATTCTATAGGAGTTGATGAGTTTCAATGCGAAGTAATCTGTTCGAAGCTTTGTAACAATATACAGAGAACACATTCGAATCCCAAACGACAGACGAGGTATAGGAGTAGACATTTCATCCAATGTATTTTCTGGGCCCACTTTTCTGGAGTGACGTCGCCACCATTTCCATTTTAGTTTCACTACGCACCGCAGGTTCACCGTTCTCATAACATAGAGGTCACTAAAATCACAGGGTTTTTAAGGTGTCGGTACTAGAAGGTTTAGATTGGCCACCAATTCCCACAAAATGAAAAGTCTATTCTTATACCTCGTCGTTGCTTGAACGCAAAAATTTCCGAAAGACTAATATTTCTACCTGTCCAAGATCACCACCCATCTGCATGGAGATGATACGTAAGTGATCTTCCTCATTGCACCAGACCAAGAATGTCTTGGCATCGTTATGGAAAATACCACGGCCTGTGGGCCAGAATCGGCAAGCGTTTGCGGCCTGCAAGAACCGATCGCCTTCCTTGAAGAGGAAATGGTCGTCGATCAGCTCGGATAGAGTGTTGGAGACTTTCTCTTCCATCTCCTTGTACTGAGCTTCGGTCAAGCAGGGGTTGAACGGGTAACCTTCCATGGAACGTCCGCATCTCACACGAGTGGAAACGATGTATTCACCCTGCAGAAATAAAGCGGTAGTCAGTAGGTTGTAATTAACGGTGCAAATAATTAACAAGAGTTGCCGATCTTTTTCTTTCTTTCGGTACTAACAGTGGGGTCAAGGTTTCCAAGGGTGTCGACGTCGCCGAAATCTTTAGGTGGGTGCTTGTCAGTCTTCTTGAAGCCACCATGGTAGTCTTCGATAATGGGGTCGAAGAGGTCAGCGAAGACCGTGTAGGACTCGGCATCAGGAGCATATATACCGACGCCGGAGTCAGGGTTCTCGACACCAGACTGAATCACATCGAGAAGGCTGGAGCCAAAAGAAGTTTTTTTCGTCTTCAGCTGATCGAACACTTCCTTCGTCAGATACTTCTTCAGCAATGATTTGCTGTCAGATCCGGACACCTTAGTGAAGCTAGCCTCGAGCTTATCCAGAACTGCCTGGTCGACCATATTGCTGTTTTTCTTGCTGTAACAATGATGGAAAATTATTATATATTATTCAGTGAACGAATGATTATTGGTACGAAACAATAACCAATCACGTGACACTTGTGTATGCTTGGTTTTTCGAAAAATTGTACGTCGACCATTCGATTCGTTAAGACAGATTTTCGTCACCGATATATTCCCAATACTTGAACAATATTAAAGGCAATATTAAATTCCCAATATTTTCACAGTTATTTTACATTAAACAATTAGTAGGTTACTACCAATGAAATTTAAACGATTTCTGTAGCGAACAGTGAAATACATAACGGTTCTCGTTACTGTCAAGGTGTTGAATAATCAATCAACAATGGTCTCCGATGAGCTCGTTGAAATCATTATCATAGTATCTTATCTCTGCGGTTTCGCGATTATTTGCCCGCATTAGTTATAGTAGATTATCAACAATATTCGTGAAGATAACAATTGTTCGTTATCACAATGAAGTGCGGTGCCTGAGGATAACATTAGTATTATTGAACAGATATAATATCGCTCTTTAGCGCGTTCAATGCCGAGCAAAATACAAAGTTTTGGTGGCTGATACTCTCTCTGGACGTCCTCAGGATTGGCTTAACAACGTAACACGATCGGTTATTTCTTTACTCGCGAGGAAAACAAAACAATTAACACTCGACCTTTAAAATAACCTTTGACCGTTAGTATAAATCTGGCTAAAGGGGACCTACGAAACGAGCAACAGATTTCCAAGTCTTCGCGTTACTCACGTTCGTATCAGCCTGAACGGCGCTCGAATTGTACAACGGGCCAAAGGTCGTGTTAGGGCTTCGTTCGAGGTGCAGAGTGTTTTCAAAAGCTTGCACGGGAGCATCGAGAACTCGTCGGCTAACGATCGATTCCTGATGAGATGCCAGCAGCCCTTAGGGGCACGTACTTTCCGACCACGGGTACCTCGTGCGTGCTTTACGAAAGGATGCATCATCTCGTTATTCGCCCTTCGTGGCTCCTATTAGGGCTAACGCGTGGTAACTGTTCCCGAGAGCAAACGAATCACGTGAACATGGCGTTCGGAAAAGTTACAGTTAACATCTGATCGATCGACGAGGGGCAGAGGGGCCAGAGACAAATTTGAACATAGTCAGAAATCACTCGAGTAATGGATCGATCAAGATAACAGAACCTTAAATCATTTCCAATTAATACAGTAATTTTTACTTCATTCAATGTATAAGGTATCTTAGAATTCAGGTTAGAACGTTGGTAAATCGAGGATGCTGCGTTGAAACGCGGATTTCCTTATCGATGCCAGCTTAGGCATTGGAATTTCGGGCATTGAACACCATTGGTACACACATCGTGCGTTCGGTGCCGAGGGCGTGTGTCTTCGTCGGTGGTGCACACTGTGAGTGCTTCGCTCGAACTCGGAAGGGAAGAACCACAAACTGTTCGACTTCGATTTTAACGGGGTTTCGTAAAATGATAGTACACAGGTTAAGAATTATATTTGTGAAATATTATATGTAGATATTCGATAATTTTTAACGATGTAAACAATTGAAATTACGTAACCTTAAGATGTACTACGAATATACGTGAAACTTATCGAAGGTACAAGCTTATTGCAGAATTTCAAGTGTTTATTTATACTATTGTCTAAATATTAAACGTATATTTTGAAAATATTCCTTTTATATTCTATGAATATTTAGTTTATATTTCCTAAACATTTATTTTATCTGGGTATTGTCAGTCAGATTTTCTGGCTTTTTCGAATAATAATAAACATATACGAAAAACTCTTCTCGACCGAGCACGAGCGAAATTGTAGTTCGTGGGGCACGTAGTATGTTTAAGAGAACGTGCAGTGTGTGCTTGTGTGCCAAATACGTACTCGTCCTCGACAGCCGTCTCATCCGTCGACTCGCATATGCCCATCACCGACGTACATACGCCCATTGTCGACGATTATGCGCCCGATTATGCCTCGATTATCGCCCCGGGCTATGGCGTCTATTTATAAGCGACACGACGAACTGTTACGGCCGGTTCCTCTCTTTTCTCTCTCTGTCCTGTGTGTGTGTGTGTGCGTATCACCGAATAGAATTACTTCAGGCCGACGGTAAACGCAAGGATGCCACCTCCCGGTGTCGAGAAACAGGACCACGGTCCCATCATCGTGTTCGAGTACTTCCTGTCGAATTTATTCTTGCCGGTTTCTATTCATCGATACCAATGGCGCGACCATAGAATTCGTTGGTTTCGTGAATTCAGCGTTAGGTACGTGTGTACGTGTTGGTGGTGCTGTCGAACCACCAATCATCGGATTAACAATTTTAAACCTCGTCTAAATGATACGTACACGCTCAATTTTACTGCACAGTACAGCCGAATTGGGCAGGAATTATACTGAAATAATACATAGTAGCAATATCGAAAATTGTTATCATCCTGGCGTTTAAATAGCGAATGAAATTTATATAATTTTTGCATAATTATTTCAAAGAGATTTAATACTAAGAATATTAAAAATAAAAATATAATGATTTATTCAAGGAATATTGTTTTATTATAAAAATTAGAATTTTCACATTTGATCAATGAATAATTGCACAATACTTTCCTTCATCTTTTATTCGTTATTCGAATTTTTTTTACCTGGATAATGAATTTGCCAATTTTTACCCTACAGTAAGCACGTGAAAACAAGATATTAATAAAAAAAAGATTGATTACTAGCACTGTAGAACGTATAACATTTTCTATGTCCCCATACATTCTTACTGCACGAACACTTTTGTCCCTTGCTGTTACCTCTTGATTATCAGTGTGTGTGTGTGTGTGTGTGTGTGTGTGATACTTTCGTACAAAATGTGCATCAGCGAGAGCAAACTGTGACCACAGAGTTTTATGTGTATCGTTCGAAATGCAAATCAAATTTCTCAGATGACCTGCTTCCCCGTCCACGCCCCTACGCAACGACGAAGGGTTAACCCTTATGTGCGATCCAACAGGGGTTAGGTCTCTGGCTACAATAATCGCCCCGGGTATACACTCGTCGAAGCTCCTTCGCGTTCACCTCGAGAGATCGGTAATATTATACACAGTGTACTGAAACGATATACAAAAAGTCGTGAAAAATTAATATTCCATTGCAAACCGTGCACTTATCCAACCTTCAAATAACAAGTAAAGGCCACAGTTCCGTTAATCGAAAACCCCTTTGGCTGTTCCTCCTGACGATTCCATAAACCTTAACCTCAAAAATCCACTCGAATTCCCCTACGACAATCCTCGAACTCCCTAATTCACGTGCACCTTGAAGTGACTATATCCACTACCCACAAACACAGTACAGTAAATCCTCGATGAGTGTTCGATTCCCAGATGTAATGCTGCCTTTTTAATGAGGTTTAACACAGCGATAGAGCATAAAATTCTGAAGCCAAATGATATTTCTTCCATTCGTATATGGCCATTAGTTTATGAAATGTTCAGTCCTGAGGAGCTTTCGAACACTCAACGAGGATTCTTTGTATCATATTCCCCGCGCGTCTGATCTAACACACTCCTGCATCACTGAACGCCGAGTAGGAACATCCCCCCTCACTGCTGTGTTAGTCATACGAATATACATACTCATCAGTGGATGTGGTATCCTTCGAAGTGCATCCGCCCATGACGACGATGACGACGCCCCGACGTGAGGGAGCGAGAGAACGAGGGTGGAGGAAAGGGAAGAAAAAAAAGATATATATCGAAGGCGCGCGAACCACCACCCGTTCTGTTGTTCACCTCCGATAAACTACTTCACCACCACACCTCTTCGTTTCTATATCCTGTTCAGAGTCACTCTCGTGACACAAGGTCCCCACCGACGACGCCGGAAGTTCCACGGGGTTGGGTCCTCTCGGAGGACTCGCGCGCCTCGTCGACGCCTCGCGAAGCAAAGATGGACGGAAAACCGAAACGCGTGTTTCCCACGCGCAACACAACACACACTCGCTCGAAATTATTCTCTACGTCCTGTCCGTGTCACTTCCGGTCTTCGTGTGGTACGTAGTATCGAGGGGTAGCCACCCCTGTGTCAGCGATATCGAACGTCGGTTTAATAAAATATTTGCACTTTCCCCCTGTACAATCGGGATACTTCACGGTACAATGTCCCTCGAGGATTGCTTCCGATTCCGTGTGACTGGATCGTCAAATCGACGATTTCCCTGGTATATATACTGTTGAAAACGATCCGATCTTCAGTGTCTTTCCCCTCGATTTATTCTTTTACGAACACGCTGCTCTCGAAACGATTGGTAAGACGGAATTTAATTGGAATTGAAGCGGATACGATATTATTCAGAATCAGTTGTTTCCCAGAGCAGCGTATTCTTTCGGTTGCACCGACTGACTAACGTAGTGGTCAACGGTAAATACAAGTATAATACGTATAACAACAAGTATAACAAGCAACACGACCGATCGAAAAATTGAGAATTCGCTTCTAGCACGATCGGAACCCCGGTGATCGTTGATCACTTCATGGACGGTATAAAACAGAAACGAAGGAAAAACTGCGGAGTGAACAGGTGAGACCGGCGAAGGAGCGTCACACGGGGACCGGCAATCGCGATCAATGCGTTCCGCCACACTGTTGTATGCTACAAGTCCTTTTCCGTTCGCGGGTGAAACTCTCGACAGAGGGGAAAAACACTATGACACGACCGTCGATCGATATCGATACATGCGACTAACTTCCAGTCAAAAATCAATCGAAAAAGGTAGTCGGTGCAACCGAAAAAGAATATCCTTTCGTTCCTTCCCTTACTTACCGGCCTACGAAAGGAAATCGAAACTCGACAAATCGGGCGGGGAGACTCGAGTTAAAAAAGTACTCGAAGAAAAAAACCACTGTACAAATCTCCTGGTCGTCGAAACGTGCGCGTTTTTCCGTCGCTCCTGCAGGATAGTTCCTCTTTTTTCTCTTTCTCTCACACGTATATTCCTATCTTGCTTGCTACTTAT